TGATCATTGTTTCCACCGTCCAGTTTACCCCTCTGCCAACACTGATGTACATCACCAGCTCTGCAAAACCCGTTGCCAGTACCGCCACCAGGATGGCTGATAAAGCAAGCGGAACAATTTTTCTGGATGCTAAAAAACGTTGAAACAGTAAGCTGTAAAAAACATAAAAGCTGATGAGGGCGGGCAATAAGGCAAACTGCAACATCACAAATCCGTAATACACAAATGCAGTCATTGCCTGTCCGTTGCCCATGGTCATAAAGGCAAAAAACAGGGCCAGCAACATCAGGTACAATAACCAGTAAACAATATGCAACAGTACAATAACCGGCTTCTTCATGTAAGGTCTTATTTCTTTTTATGCATGATCAAATATAAATCAGCCCTTTGCTTTTTTTGTCCGGTACAACAGATAAGCCAATAGCATGAAGGCCACAAAGTAACCAATAGCCAGCCAGTAAATATTCACGGCAACCATCATTTCTTCTTTATTCATAGAAAGGATCGGGCCATAGCTATAAGGAATCAGCCAGGCATATTTCCACCCTTCCAGTAGGATCAGCGTTGCAATCACAGCGAGCAAACCAATGCCAACAGGCACCAGGAAGTTTTTAGACAGTGTACTGAATAAGTACTGTAAGGCGATCACCGGCAGGCAACTGATAAACATTTTTGTATTGATCTTCAATAGATATACTACCGGCAACGGATCTTGCGGGAGCCGGCCATTAAACACCAGTGAAGGAACAATACCCGTGATCAGCATACCGATATTAAAGAACACAAAGAACTTCAATGTCATCAACAGAATGGTAATGAACTTGGCCGAAAAGATAACGCTATAAGACTGGGGCGTGGTATGCAACTGTTTCCACGTATTGTTTTTGTACTCCGTCTGCGCCAGCAAACTGGCCGCCAGTACAATGCCTACCGGCAATAACAAGATGCCCATAAACTGCCACAAGCGCATGGAATACAGTATCCAGCCATTCACTTCTATGGAAGGATCATCTAAGGTCTGGTGATTTTTAAGCATACCGATCAGGTACAGGATGGGCAGGAAAAAACCACCGGCCAGGCATAACCAGGAGGCTGCACTTCTTTTAGTTTTCAGCCACTCGCTTTGAAGACTTTGCAGGAACATCATTGTTTAATTTTTTACGAGGTCAATAAATATGGATTCAAGATCATTGCTCATGGTATGGATCTGGTAAACATCAATACCCCGCTCAAAGAGCTGCCTGCTTAACGCCGCGATTTTTTCCGGGTCTGTGACCGGTACCAGTACCGCCTGCTCCTTCATCGATGGCATCAGTCCATTGGCCAGCATCACAGATATGGCCTCTGCCGGGTTGCTGGTGCTGAAAAGCGTGATCGCCTGTGATTGCTGCTGCAACTGCAATTCAGCCAGGGTACCCTGGAACAGCATTCGCCCCTTGTGAATGATACCGGTATGGGTGGCTATCTTTTCCACCTCCGGCAACAGGTGGCTGGATATAACCATGGTGATCCCCTGCTCCCTGTTCAGTGTTTTCAGCATCTCCCTCATTTCCAGGATCCCATTCGGGTCCAGGCCATTGGTCGGTTCATCTAATATCAGCAGCGAAGGGTTGTGCAGTAAGGCGATCGCGATGCTTAAGCGCTGTTTCATGCCCAGCGAAAACTGACCGGTTTTCTTATTGCCGGTGCCTGAAAGCCCCACCAGGTGCAGCACTTCCTGAATGCGGTGCTCCGGGCATTGATAAATCTTTTGCAATACAGTCAGG